ACAATCTGGATGCTGTGATCTGAGCTCAAATGTGATAGAGATACATTTTAAAATTTCATCTCTGCAACTATGACACAGATTGACAACAGTAAAATGAATTTGCTCTATGAACAAATTTGAATGAGAGGCCAGGCGTTAGTGGCACACACCTTTAATCCTAGCACTCCGGAGGCAGAGACAGGCAGATCTATCTCTGTGAGCTCGAGGCCAGTCTGGTCTACAGAGTGAGTTCCAGAACAGCCTCCAAAACAATACAGAGAAACCCTGTCTTGAAAAACCAAAAGAAGGAGGAGGAGGAGGAGGAGGAGGAGGAGGAGGAGGTGGAGGAGAGGAGGTGGAGGAGAGGAGGAAGAGGAGAAGAAGAAGAAGAAGAAGAAGAAGAAGAAGAAGAAGAAGAAGAAGAAGAAGAAGAAGAATTTGAGTGAAATGATAACTCTGAACTGTTATGCTATGAACCATGTGCTCCTGCACACTATTCAAACATAAATTAATCTAATCTTATTTCACCTCCAGAACACTCCATTTTATTTCCACAAAAGTTCCAGAGATGTAGTAAACTTGGTCCTGCATCTGTATTTCTAGTCTACAGCTAGCACAATGCTGGCGTAAATGTCCAATGAATACATGCCCTGTGAATGAACAGATGATGAATAAATCTTTATGAGAACCCTGAAAACAGTGTGGTATCCACTTAACAAATTAAAAAAAATAAAAACTGGAATATATTGCATTAATTGGGGAGCTGGGGAAATGGTCAATAGGAAAGTGCTGTGGCATTCATGCTTATAACTCCAGTGTTGATGACAGCCTCCCTCTGCCAAACAAACAAATCAGTCAGTTCTGGGTTCAATGAGAGACCCTGTCTCAAAAATAAGCCTGATGTTAGCACCTGGCTTCCACAAGTGTACACACACATGAGTACACAAACACACACATACACACACACACAAAGAAATAAAAGAGGTACTATTGGGGTGGGGTTTTTTTCCAGTTTTGCTTTGTTGTTTTTATTTTACTATTCCTAGTCATATGAACCATGGAAGAAAACCCAGTTTACAACCTACGTGTCTTCTCTTTCACCAAACTTTCCATAATTTTCTGTACTCAGGAGAATAAACAGACAAATAAAAACTTTTACAATTTAAAAATGAAGCTAACTTCACCTTTCAAGCATATGATGCCACTGTCTGCAGAACCCCCTCTACTTGTTTAAAGCCATCTAGAGAATTGCTAATAAGAGTAATTAAATGTGTTGATTGGCTACTTACCAAGGCCCACTGCACTTCATTTACAGGTTCACACTCTAAAACTTCAATTTAGCCCAAAGAGACAAGTCTGCGTGGCACTTCCTTCTCATTTGACAAACTTCTGAGTAAACAGAGACCCAAGGGTGTCATTAACAGTTGTGTTTGGTGTCATCTTGACAGAAAACATTTTCATTTCCTAAGTCTGTGGGGAAGTAGTTTCCCTTAATGGAGATGAGAAAACATTTATCACAAAACTTCATATGAGGAGCTAAATGCTTAGGGGGATTCTCAAAGTACGAACTGAAGTCCAAGTGTACAAGTGAGAAAGAAAACTTTAGCTGATGCAAAAACTGCAGAGCAGTGACTGCCCCTTGCCTGCCTCTTCTGATGCAAAAGGTTTGTGAGCAAAGCTGAGGTCACCTATGTGGGCAGCTTCAGAAGTCTCCAGAAAACCGCTCAGCTAACATCATGCACACCTCGGTCCTAGTTGGCTGTCATAAGAAAACCCTCAACCAAATATTCATTTTGTTTGCTCATAAATAATTTCCATTTTAAAATGTGTAACTAAATTGCATGCACTAAATGAAGTAAACTTTTCCCTCCAAAAGAGCATTGGTATAATGCAGGCAAGTTTTAGGAATTGCTTTGATTGTGTTTAGCTTTTCTTTTGGTCACATTCTTCCCAGGGAAGTCACTGAGAGTTTTTACCATTCTTTGTGACTTTATCTGCAAACTGCATTGCTTCCAGGTGCTTTTCATTCTATTATGTAATTAACAGGCTAAAGTAATAGACTGAAAGCATTAATAAAGTTTTCAATTGAAAGGTAAATTGGTCTGTCAAAAAAGATAATTTTAAAAAAAAACCTTTCCGCTGAGGCTGGAGAGATGGTCATTGGTTAAAAACATGTACTGCTCTTCTGGAGGGCCTGAATTTGAACCCAGTACTCACATCAAACAGCTCACCATCATCTGTATCTCTAGTTCCAGGGAGATTTGACCCTTTGGCTTCTGCAGGCACCTGTACTCAGGTACACAGACATACACATAATTAAAAATAAAACTAAAAATTGAAAAGCTTTTGGTTTATTATTATCATGTTTTCATAAAAGAGAACACTATATCCCTGAAATTTAGTGGGAATGTAATCTTAGACAAAAGTTTATCCCACTGACTGATTTTTACATGTAGAAAAATCAATACATTATTTTGATTTGTGATATTCTATATTGAACTACAAAACGGTTTACACAGTCCACAAAAATCCTCAGCCCACACAGAACTGGGAATCCTGAGCTAGACTGCCACAGACCAGAGAGTTTAGACATTTTTGATATTACAAGAAATAACTTCAGAAATAATTTTTTCTCATACTGGTTTAGAGATATTACATTCTATTAAACTATTGTCCTCTTTCCCTGGTTCGAGAAAATGCTCATGAGAAGCTACTCTGTCAGCTTTGCATTGAGGGTCTACCCACAGAAGTTCACAGCCAGGTCTCTCAAGTTCATTTCCAAGTATGTTGCAGACTTACTACCCCACTGACATTTCACCCTGCTACATACACTGAATACTTTAGAATTCTTTCTCATTCTTCCTTCCTGTCCCTCAGTCCCCATCCCCAAATTTCACTAGATAGCCCATACAATAGCTCAGAACTGGCTTGGTAGTTAAGGCTAGCCTTCAAGTTACATATTTCCAGTTTCTACCTGCTGAGGACTAGCAGAATTCCTTCTACTCTAATAAATATGCTGACATGTATGGTTCTTAGAAGAGATGTGTGCACATGCCCAAGGATTCACAACACTGGTTAAAACTACAAATTTCTGAGTGTCAATCCAGTTATTCTAAATGATGTCACCACAGGTATGGCTTCAAACACAGACTTAGATAGCAAGCCACAAGCCAAATCTAGTTAAGCTTCAGAATTCGTGAACACAGACACCACACACCATGATACACCTCATGCATGCATGAACACAGACACCACACAAACACACACACACACACACACAAATATTTTCAAAAAATTCTATAGATCCAATTGTTTATGAAGAGAGAGCTCAGTGTTTAAGAAAATGTGCGGCTCTTGCAGAGGACCCAAATTCAGTTCCTAGCAATCATGTTAGGCAATTCAAATTTTCCTGTAATTCCAGCTGCAGGGGATCAACATTCCTCTTCTAGTACCTGTACTTATGTGCACATGAGCACGCATGTGCATACACACACACACACACACACACACACACACACACACACACACGCACACAGAAAGAGAGAGAGTATTAGGTGTTACATAGTTTTAAAATAACTAAAATAACAATAAAACAAATCATTCTTCGTGCATCTTTTACACTGAATATTCAAGCTCTTGACTGGTGACACTGGCCCAGCTAAACAGAAAGTTTGACTTGTCAAAATCATCAGTGGATAAGTTTGCCCAGTTTGTTCTACTTTGTGGCCAATATGAATAACTTTCCAAAGACTACATTGTTGATTTCCAGATATAAAATCATGATGGAATCTCCTAGCTCACTCACCTCTTAAAACAAAACCATTATTAATCATCCATTTCCAGCAAATATCCTTGCTAACACATTACTACCTGATCTGGAATGGAAATGTATATGAAGATTTTAGTGGAACATGGAAAATGAATTTACTTTTATTAGAAATTGACTTAAAAATGCATATTCATGTTGTAATTGTTTTCTTGGAACAATTACATTCTTCTACAATAAGAGCTATTTCCATTGCTATAAATAAAAACTTTTCATGAAAACCTGTCTGGGACTCCTGAGTCCATGAAAGGCTGCATAACTCACTTAGAAAATGGACAGATAGGTCTAAGTCTGCCCATGACCTTACCACTTGCACAAATTGGAACTCCACATCCTTTGGTTTTTTGCTGCTTATAATAACATGAAGGATTACTGCCTGCTCCCATTTATAGAGATTCAAATTCTGGAGAAAACTCTTCTGAAAATTGTAACATGGGTCATTCACTCATCTGTTTAGTTAAAAGGAGAGGCCAGAGGCTAGGAGCACCACGGCAGTTAGACTTGTCCAGTTGCAATGGAATTTCTCTGACAGCCAAAACACAAAAATGTCTTCTGTGTCAAAAGATACCAGCTGCATGAAGCTGGGAATGTGGAAAAACCAAAGCAAGTCTTTCCTGCTGTTTGGCTAACTCTTGTGAGTATTAAACCAGAGCCTACAAAGAACGACATGTGCTAAGGGGTTTGGGAACTAAGTAAAAAAAAATGTAGAAATATGTGAGGTATGAGCTTGTTTGAAGAAAAATAAAAATTCAGGTTTAATAAAAATCTGAATAGCAATGATTCATTAAGATCAAAGTTGTTCTAGAAATTCTGACTAATAGAACACAGTAAGGACTATGTAATTAAAGACCTTAATGGCTGGATGTAATGTATATAAAAACATTAATGGTTGAATGTCATGGCATATGCTTTAAATCCTAGCAAGTATGAGGCAGAGGCAGGCAGATCTTTGTGAGTTTGAGGCCAGCCTGGTCTATATAGCAAGTTCTAGGCTAGTTAAATTACATAGTGAGACCCTGTCTCAACAGCAACAAAAAAGAATAGCAATCATTTAAAATAAGTTACAACAATATTAAGGATAGTATGCTTGCCTATTATGAAAACACAAGCAAATTGAATGAAAATATGTATCAACTTTATTGCATACTAACAAAAATTGTTACAATAAAATGTATTTTTTTCAATTTCACCCAGCTTATTGCTATTAGATTATATCTTATTGTCTTCTAATCGCACATCTACATGACTGCACATAAATTCAGACAGTATTTCTGGATCCTTGAGCCTTTCACCTCATGTAAATCAATATAACAGTTTTTGAAAGATTTACCTAAGATATAGAAATAGTCTTTGAGGGACAACTTGGAATAAATAATGAAAACAACAGAAACTCACTGCAAAGTATAGAAAATTCTTCAAAAACATTTGTTTCCTTTTTGAAAATTTAATAAACTGGTCTCAAGGGGGACAGAATTCAAGATAGTGTTTTAGACTGAATAGGGACAACTTGTATTTTAACATACTGTCTTCAAAGGCCAGCTATACTGTTGCTAAAGTGTGCTAAAGCGAAATCTAGCCAGACGAATAAGATAGATAATCCTGAAATGAACTATAACAGATGGAAGGATTTTGTAGTTGCAACTGCCTGGCCTGTAATTGGTTATGTGTGCCAGGCTGGCCTTCGATATATGGCAATCCTTCTGCCTTTGCCTGTTCAGTACAGAGATTACAGATGTGCGCCACTATGTCTGGAGATGGAAGCCTTTAATACATCTTAGGAGATCTTCAGATTTATGAACAAACAGTGAAATATACATCTTAGTTAATTTTTAATTGGCTACCTTTCTTTAATTTGGTCATGAAGATGTCACTATTATTAAATAAATCCAAATCTTCAGTGATACTTAACTTGAAACTAGTTCTGCAATATCTTTTTGAGAAATACCTTAATTGCAAATCAATGTATATAATTTTCTGACTTTCTATTAAGGTATCTTCTTATTAGAAACCACTATTCCTTCCCCTGTCTTCATATGACTGTATGTATGTATGTATGTATGTATGTATGTATGTATGTACGTATGTATCAAATTCCTAATTTCTACCCTAAATTCAGCCTTGTGATTAAATTGCAGAATGATTAAATTACTGTTGTCAACTCACAGAAGGTCACCTAAGGGTGGGGACAATTCTTTCTCATGTAAGTCTTTAATACTGCACTTACCATAGTTAAACTTGTGTAACAATAATGTCAAAGAGTACATATATTCCATGCCAAATACCAGGTTATTAAACTCATCATGTGTATCTTAACTCAAATAATTGATTTTAAAAGCACATGTACTTAGTGCCTATAGTTGGTTCACTATTTTCATAAATATAATCACCAACTCTTTCACAAAACAGTAAGATATATAATGGTTACGTAGATTGCATCAGAAAAACAAGTTAGACCTAGATGAATCTTTTTGGAAAATCTTGCCAAAGACAATCATCTTCAGTGCTCTTCTGAACCAGGGGTAGAAAAAGGCATAGACCACTGGGTTGAAGGCAGAATTCAGGTACCCAAACCAACTCAGTACATCAGTCAAAGTGGGTGGGATAGCATGGCCCAGGAAAGGGTCCAGGACCATGCAGAAGAAGAAAGGGCACCAGCATATGAGGAAAACACCCATCACAATCCCTAAGGTCTTTGCAGCTTTTGTTTCTTTGCTTTGGGGCATCCTGTGTTTCTCTTCCGATCCAATTTGAAGATTTGTGCCATGAATTGACCTTGCTTGTCCTTTAGCTATGAAATATATTCTGTAGTAAACAAACAACATGACAGATCCAGGTATATAGAAAAAGGTCATGAAGACCAGTACCCCGGACACTTTGCTAAAGAAGGCAGAACAGCCGCCCAGGCAGCCAGCCTGTTTGAGATACAGTTCTTCAACTCCTTTGATGTTCAGCTCCAGGAAGATCATTCCAAATGCAAAAATAGCAGGAACACTCCAGCTAATGAGAATCATCACAAAAATAGTCAAGATATTCATCTTGGCTTTGTATCTCAATGGGTCGAATACAGCATAGTAGCGGTCGATGGAAATGAAGGATACGTGGAAAATGGATGCTGAGCTCAGCATAATATCGGTGCTGGTGTGAATTTTACAGAAAATTTCTCCGAAATACCAGCAGTGCTCAACTGTCCTCACCATGCTGTAAGGCATCACCAGGCAGCCCAGCAGAAAGTCCACAGTGGCCATGGAATGAAGGAGCCAATTTGTGGGTGTATGAAGTTGCTTGAAATGGGATATAGAAATTATTACTATTAAATTACCAACGAGAGTGGCCAGAATTATGAGTGACATTAAGCTATACAGGGAAGCACTAATGTCCCTTGACCAGTTGCTGTTTATGTGGGAAATGTTAATGTCGTGGCAACGACTCATCACTACAGAGAACTATACAGAGGCTGGTTTTTCCCTTAGGCTGTTGAGCAGTCTTTCTCCAGAATCCATAGTCAGGTTAGAGTTCTATCTCCTTTCATTTTTATGGGCACATACCTGTCCTGTAAACCTGGGAGGAGCAAAAAGAAGAAGAGAAATGATTAAGTGATCAGCAACTGACTTAATCCTTTTATCAATATTTCCACGTTCTTGCTGAAGAATATCTGCATGGAAAGTTTTATTTCCAATGTTAGTTTAATACTTCAAAACATGTTTAATACCCAGGTGGAAACGAACATTGTACTAAAATATAAAACTTGGAATGAAATAAAATCGGCACATAAAGCCTCCATGTCTAAAAGCCCGAGAAAACCAAATGGTGATTATTTTGGGTTAATCAATGGAAACAGTCCTTTTGAAGACTTACACTGCACAGGTCAGATTTAAATTGTCAAAAGATAGATTTAAAATAGCCTATGAGTGTGCCCCGTGAGACATTTTCCATTTATACTCTATCAGCATCATTCTTAGTCAACTAACTTACTACTAGACTGCTGGACTCATGGCTAAGTCTTTGGATTACATTTTGCCTGGTATCCTAGTCACCTATTCCAATAAACCTTTCTGTGGCTCCTGAGTCACCATCCCTTACAAGTTTTGCTCCTTTCTGTCAGTGTTACTTGTCCTTCTCCTCCCACACACTGCTGATCCCTTATAGAACTTCTCTCCAGTTTCTTATGGTCTTGTGATTTCAAACTAATCTACAAGCTGTGTTCTGGGTGAAAACTAAGGGAGCGGTAATAGATTTGTGGGATTCTTCACTAATCAGAGTGTAAATAAAGCTTTCAAAGTCCAGGTGTAATCATTTGGGGAAAGACAACCCTGCTTGCCTTTGAGGCATCAGAGGTTAAAAGAAAAGCTTTCTCCAAAGCTATACATTTTTCAGACTGAACTTGCTTTTGGTTTATTCTAGAGTCCTGACATGAGCATTAGCTCCTAAGCTAAGAAAGAGTGCAGTGGTTCCCTGTTGACCAGTATTCAGAAAAGCTGAAGATTAAGAAGAAACTCCATGGAAGACATATGTATGTTTAATAGATGTTATGAAATCAAGGAGAATGTTGTTGTCTTTGTAATCAGATGGAAAATTTCATTATAAACTGCACCTGGGAGATTGCTCAGCAGTTAAAGTATTACCTGGAGTTCAGATCCCCAGAATGCACATAAATACCATTGAGAAAGGTACACATAGGGGACACCCAAAACAAGCTGCCTGGCAAGCTCTGTGCTTGACTGAGAGATCCTACCTCATTGAACAAGAAGGGAGAGCAACTGAGGATGGTTTTAGACATCGATCTTAGGCCTCAACCATGTGCACATGTGCCCATAACACATCCATGAAAAACAAGAAGGTAAATAAGAAGAAGAATCTTCCGGGTGGTGGTGGCCCACGCCTTTAATCCCAGCACTCAGGAGGCAGAGGCAGAGGCAGGTGGATCTCTGTAAGTTCAAGACCAGCCTAGTCTACGAGAGCTAGTTCCAGGACAACCTCCAAAGCCACAGAGAAACCCTGCCTCAAAAAAAAGAAGAGGAAGTAGACTTAAACGAAGGTCACAATACTTTGTCCCTACCCCCAAAGAAGCTGGCAGTCCTTCAAGGAAATGACAGTACAGTGGCCTAGAGTCAGACTAATGAATCTGTCATCAGTTACAAGCTCTACTATCCTTATCTAATGTGCAAGCCCTATAAATGTTTGTGAACAATTTGGAAGCAGAAAATATAGAGGAATGAAGTTCCTAGGTTGTGAAACCATAAGGGAACGAAGGACATACTATTGGGTTTGAGTCATGTAGAAGTTGGAATCTCAACACCCAGTTAACTTGTTATGGTGTGTGTGTGTGTGTGTGTGTGTGTGTGTGTGTGTGTGTGTGTGTGTGTGTGTGTGTTTATGCTAAATAAAATTCATTTTTGTCTTTGGGGAAATTTTGCAGTTGCCACATAATGCAAAAGTGTGTTCAGAGACATGGGGCATTGTGGGTGGAACCATCCCTGGACCGGTGGGATTTATAAGAAAGCAGACAACAAGTCATGGTGAACAAGCCAGTAGGCAGCACACCCCCATGGCCTCTGCATCAGCTCCTGCCTCCAGGTTCCTCACCATTTGAGTTTCTGTCCTCCAGTGATGGACTTTGATGTAGAAGGATAAGCCAAATAAACCCTTTCCTCCTCAAGTTCCTTTGGTTGTGGTGTTTCTTCATAGCAATAGAAACCCTAACTAGGATAGATGGCTTGTAGGGACTCACATTAGCAGCTCATGCAATCCAGAATTGGACTTTCTATTAGAGTAAATGTTGTTTGACATTTCTTCACAATTTGCAGTCCCTAATTAATATACTTTCCCCAAATCACATAACCTTAAATCTTTCATGAATGCTGAAGCCTTTTATTTGATGAGAAGCAACATAGAGAGAAACAAGGAAATAGTTTAAACACAGAGAATGACAAATGCAAAACTATGTCTTTTGTATCAGTATGGAAAATGGTTTCTCAGATTCAAGAGTTTATAAGCTACTGTACTGTGTATCCTTTATTGCTTGAAAAAGTCATGAAAATTAAGATGTCAAGAACTGGATCCATGACAGGCATGGTGTCACAAGCCTTTAACCCTAGCACTTGGGAGGCAGAGCCAGGCATATCTCTGTGAGTTCAAGACCAGCCTGGTCTACAGAAAAAGTTCTAGGACAGCTAGAGCTTATAAGACTCAGAAAACAAAGCAAAAAAAAAAATAATCAGGTCATTAAAAGACCAATATTTAGCTTTATGCTAATCAAACATAGAATTGTCTTTCAATAATTCCAACAAATTCTGCCTTAAAATATAAATGTAACTGAAGGAGAGACGCTTGCTTTAAAAATCAACTGTGAAGAGTCACAGCAGTCAAGTATGGATAGTGAGCTTTGTCAGTGGAAGAAAATGTGCTGACAGGATCCTGAAGTCAGAGTCTTAGAGATGCTCCAAATTCTGTGCTCCTGAGATGCCCCACCCAGAAAGGCTAGAACACATCAACAACATGTAAAGGAGGCACAGACAGAAGCCAAGTCATCAAGAAAGGAAGCTGTTGTGGAGGCAGAGAAATGAGAACCTAAAACAAAAATGAGTTTAAAAGCTCAAGCTAAGCCGGACGTTGGTGGCGCACGCCTTTAATCCCAGCACTCGGGAGGCAGAGGCAGGCGGATCTCTGTGAGTTCGAGACCAGTCTGGACTACCAAGCGAGTTCCAGGACAGCCTCCAAAGCCACAGAGAAACCCTGTCTCGAAAAACCAAAAAAAAAAAAAAAAAAAAAAAAAGCTCAAGCTGATTAATGTGAATGGCATAAGAAATGATGTGTGGCATTTTAAATTCTCCAGTAAAGTACAAAAGAGAATAATTAAACCATAGCTAAATATCATACTGATTGAATGAATAGAATGGAAAAAGCTCACAAATTTACTAAAAATAATAGAAATGGGAACATAACGATAGACGTTTTACACACTTGTTTACAAACCAACAACAATTAAGACTGCTAAATACTTGTTAGGGAGGGGCGCCTCAGAGAACACAGTGCTGATACCAACATCTGGCATGAGTCAAAATGGCTACTGCTGGATGTGCGGTGGGAGCAGCTATGAGTCAGCACAAAATGACTGACATCAGATATCTAGGGAACCCAACAGTAGTGACATATCTATTATGGAATTATCTCTTATAAAATGCCACATTCGTGTAGGTTTTATCTAAATATGGCCCTATAACAGGTCCCCAGACCTTAATAGGCCTCCAGACCTTAGTGCAACTGACTCCGTGATGGAAGTACCATTCAGGCTGTAAAACTCCACATGTAGACAGCACCACCTGCCAAAATGAAAACAAAGACCTCATCCATCAAAGCCTGGGAAAGTCTCTAAATGTACTGTCCTTGCTTCTTAGCTTTTATAGTTCTTCTTCTGGCTAACAGTGCTTGTTAACAGAAGTATGTCAACCTTGAACATGGGTTTTGTGCTTTATAAAGACTCAAAGATAGGCTCAGGGCTACACTGAGATCCTGAACATTCACTTAATAAAGACTTTCTATTGGCTTAAACCTGTGTTTGGGAAGTCTTCTCTGGTGGGTACTCCACAACAGTCTTGAGGTCAGGGGTCATTACTTTTTGTTTGCACTTTCCCCAGCCTGCCTGGCAGCCTATGTAGCTGTAAATGAAATGCCTTATCTCCCTCCAGCTACATGCACTCTTTCCAACCACCCAGCCTCCTATGTCCTTCTCCTCTCCTAACACTAGAGCTTAAGCCTCGCCTGAATGACAGAGCCATGCCTAGCATCTGTAAGACCCTGGGAGGGAGGGGCAGGAGAAGGCAGGCAGGCAGGAAAAGTGGAGGGTGGAGGAAATGAGACAAATACTCTCAAGCTGACAGATCTACTCTTCTTTTGTTGGAAAGCCAACTCTGGAGATCCACCATGGAGGGCCTCACCCTCCCTGGGGATCGGAGTGGAGATTGGGTGGGGGACATGGGGAGGGTATGGGAGGAGGGGAGGGAGAGGGAGCTGGGATTGACATGTGAAATAAGCTTGTTTCTAACTTAAATAACAGAAGGAAGAGAAAAAGAAGAAACCAGCAAAAAAAAAGAAAAGAAAAGAAAAGAAAAACTCAACATAAAAAACAAAACATTTCTTTAAAAACTAAATTTTACAATGTCAGCTCATGAAGAGCAAAAGCAACAGATCAGAGTAATAGTTTCTCAATTACATCTGATTTTAAATCAATAAGAATTGCTGTGTGTGGTCGGGCATGCCCTTAACCAAGAGGTAGAGGCAGGTAAATCTCTGTGAATTCATGGCAAGCCTGGTCTACATAGCAAGCTCCAAGCCAGCCAAAGCTATATAACAAGACCCTGTCTCAATGACAACAACAATAATAGTAGCAATAATTAAAAGAATCACAAGACTGAAGAAAAGGTTCAGTGAGTAAAGCTCTCCCCATGCTGACCCGAGCTGAACCCCTAAACCCATTAGAGGGTCGAAGGAGAAATCAGACTTCGCAAAACTGTCCTCTGACCTCACACTAGCTCTATAGTGTGCACACA